TCTACATTTCTACTTCTACTATTAGCATATTTAATCTTCTTTCTCGAGATGAGATCGAAGCCTGGGAAGACAGATAGACAAATTAACGTACATATAATAACTGTAACGGTTTTCAATTTTAATTTGGAAGACAGATATGATAATATACATTTGATGTGCATATATTATTGCTTGAACCATTATACATGTTGTAAATGTTGTTCATGTTTGTTCATATCTAATAATATATATATAAAAAAAAAAATTAACCTCGTCTCTTTCTATTCTTTAATCCATATCCTATTAGATGATGCGAACCTACTCCAACCATCTTTTCCTTTTACGTGGACATTTATGCAAAAGGACACTTGGTAGAAATGTTCTATTAGTTCGTGGTTACGAATAATAAAAAATAAGTAATAAAAGTAGAATTCGAGAAAATAAATGAGATCACAAAATTGATAAGAAATAATTGATAAATAAATAAAATAATTATTTCAAGCTTCTGTGTAAGTTTTAAGAAACTAATTAATTATAGATCTAAATTGATTAGAAAATATCCTTAACTGTAAAGAAAAGTCGCTAAGAACTTATTTTGTTAATTTAGTCAAAAATTCTATTGTTTGATAGAGAGGAAAGAAATGTAAGAATGTATAAAAAGATGAAACAAAAAAATTCAGATTCAAAAGCGATTTTTTTCAAATTTATTTCATCCGGACTTTCATACAAAAAGATACGTATATTTTACTTGGATTAGAAGTATATATGAAATACATCTCACCCATGCTTAATTCAACGAACACACGCGTGCGCCATTGTTCCAAAGAGTCAAATCAGCAAATAAAATCATCGAATTGATCATTAATTATTATTAAGTTTCTATCCTTTTCAGCAATTAATCTGCACAAAAAAATGAAAGATCTAAAATAAATATATAAAACTAAAATGAATTGTATTAAAGATGACAAAATTTGAATTCTATTGAAAAGTCAAAGTGTCGAATATAAATTATCGAACATTCAAATAAGTGCTGAACAAAGAAGGAAAAATCTAAGACCAATTTAAAAGAACATTTAATTTTGATACAATAAAAAACTGTACTATATACATATATTAATTAAACATTAAAATTAATAATAACTAATAACCTTTGAATAAATATGAAGCACTTGAAGTTATACAAATATGTAATACATACTACAACGACGATTTTCAGCAATAGACTGATCATTTGGCGCAACAAATTCCTTTGTAGCTTCCTGATTGGTTGAAAAGTAGCGCTTCATCTTCCAATCAAAATCGCGCACGAAATTAAAAAAATTTAAAATACAAATATAATAATTCTATTATGCTTATATGTGTGTACTTATTTTTTTTT